GTAATTGTATGTGTATGTTGTAAATATACATAATATGTTTACACATATGTGTGGGTTTTGGTATGTTTTTGGTTCCCGATACGCACGGGTATATTTTGAAGTGGAATGTATGTATAATGTGGAGATGCATGAACGTATTTTATATACGAACAAATAGAAAATAGCAAGCAAAAATGATTTGTTCTTGTTGGTAAGCTACAGATCTTTATGTACATACTCGAAAGTATACCATGAGGACACTTTATATTTGCACTCGTCGGATACACTTACATTTTGAGCATGAATAGAACTACTTCAAAATTGGCATTGATTAGTTGATGCAGTTAATTCTCCGTCCATAGGTGCACGTATAAAATATCTTTCAAAAATATAACATGATCGTACTGGTACTTATTCTTACCACACAACTGTTCGATACTGGCTGTGCTGTGTATGTAGTGGGGTAGTAGGAACTCAGATGCAACTCGTCAACAATTTGAACGCGAGCAATACGATATATTGACTGAAGAGTCCATTGTGAAGGGGCATAGAAACGTAGGTCTCACTTACTTCATAGTTTTCTTCAAGGTGCCTCTTCGTCCTATGCTAGGACTTTCTGAGTCCATACTAATATTGTCACATTGGCTTCTACGTGCGGGTGTCCTTTCCCCAGCGCTTGGGGTATATTCACCTTGAAGCGAAGTAGCACACACTGATTTTGGTCTTGGGGTTGCGACTTTCCTGGCTTCTTCCTCTTCTAAATGAGCATTCATTGCAGCTAGAATGTCCTTTTTATTCTTCAGATTGATCGACACTTCCCTAATACAACTGTAATATGAAGTAGAGCGGATGAATATCTCCTAAGGCAAAAATGAATTTCTTAAGTTTTTAGGTGCGGACGTTGTGTATTTTCTTCAGCTCATTTCCAGTGAGGTCTGGATAAAGCAACGATACAGAATCAAAATTTTGTCGAATTTCTTGGGAATGCACATCATACCTTCTTTGCTGCTTAAGCATAGCTCTCTTCTCAGTTAAAGACAACGATACGGAGCGACTCCGACCCGAAGCACCTTGCGGTACACTTGTTACTCGAACATCAGTTTGCATCGTGAAGTGATTCGCTATTTATACAGAGTATGGTTGAAGCACAATGTGTATATATTTGCTGTTTATTGAAGGAATAAAACGTACAGAATGATGAAGGGTAGGGAAAATGAACACACAAATTTACATCTTTTTACACATATACATATGAGATAATTATATATATTATAGGAATTGTCATCGCTGCCTATAAAAATATCGAGAAGTTTGAAGTATACCGTAAAACTTGAATCCATACCTCTACACGACCAATCGTGAATAGAGTCAAATGCCTCTAGACTCCCCCGAGTGATCAAACTGATAACAGTTAACACAAGTGATAAGAGAATATAATTGGGCGCGATATCATATTCATATTTTATCAGCAAAAAAATATACTTTGTTTTTTACCCTCATCAGGTTTTTATTTTTTAACCCCGGTCTATCCTAGCTCCTGCCCCGGCCCCCGGCCCGTGTAACTATTTTTTTTGCGCAGAACTGTTTCACTCTGATATATTTATTTCTTGCAAGCTGTCAAGCGACAACTCGTCAGATTCAAGTGTCAACTGTCAAGTGCTTATAATACTGTCACCAACTCGTGTTTTTTTTCTTCTTCTTGTCCTTCTCTCTTGTGTGAGCAACTGCAGTCTGCAGTCTGCACGCCATAGCAAAGTAAATATTTATGTATTGTAGGTGTATGTGGAGTTAGTATAAAACGTTTCTTTTTTAAANAATA